CAGGTGCGCGTTCGCGCGGACGCCCAAGGCGGCTCGGGCGAGGCAGCTCGGGGGAGTGGTGGTGGCACCTGGATGGATCTGGGAGTGTCAGAGGTTACGGGCCAGGGTCCCGTGTGGGCCGTGAGTTACACCTGGGGGTACACCTGGGGTACACCTGGGGGTACCTGGGATACACCTGAGCACACCTGGGGGCAGCTGGGATACACCTGGGGGTACCTGGGATATATCTGGGGGCAGCTGGGATACACCTGGGGGCACGTGGATACACCTGGGGGCAGCTGGGATACACCTGGGCACACCTGGGATACACCTGGGGGTACCTGGGATACACCTGGGCACACCTGGGATACACTTGGACACACCTGGGGTACACCTGGGTACATCTGGGGGCACCTGGGAACACCTGGGATACACCTGGGGGCAGCTGGGATACACCTGGGCACACCTGGGACACATCTGGATAAATCTGGGATACACCTGGGCACACCTGGATACACCTGGGGGCACTTGGGTACATCAGGGAGACACCTGGGGTACACCTGAGGGCACCTGGGCACATCTGGGGGTATCTGGGATACACCTGGGGGCACCTGGGCACATCTGGGGGCACCTGGGATACACCTGGGGGCACCTGGATACACCTGGGCACACCTGGGATACATCTGGGGGCACTTGGGTACATCAGGGAGACACCTGGGGTACACCTGGGGGTACCTGGATACACCTGGGGACATCTGGAATACACCTGGGATACACCTGGGGGCACCTGGGGATGAGTTTTGGGGGCTGTGGCACACCTGGGATACACCTGGGCACACCTGGGGAAGAGTTTTGGGGGGTTTGGCACACCTGGGACACACCTGGCAGTGCCACACCCACACCTGTGCCCCTCCCCCCAGGTACCTCCTGGACGGCTCCACCTCGTCCAGCAGCGAGGGGGAGGAGGCTGAGGATGCCCCGCCCCCTTCCCGCCCCTCCCCCCTCAAGGTGGGGAAAAAGGCGGGGCCGACTCACCTGGACACACCTGAGACCCCTCCCCCACCCGCAGCGCCGGCCACGCCCCCCGAGTCAGGTGACAGCGACGGCCAATCAGAGTGAGTGGGGATTGAACAGGTGGGGTCGAACCGGAAGTGGGTGGGGTAAACCCGGAAGTGGGTGGGACCCGAGCGGAAATGGATGGGTCAAACCGGAAGCGAGCGTGTCGGGCCGGAAGTGGGGACGCACCCGGATGGGTTCGGCCACACCGGAAGTGGGTGGAGCCACACCGGAAGTGGGCGGGGGGTGTCTCACCTGGGATGGTTCCGGTCCCATCGGGGGTGGGCGTGGCCACACCTGGGGTGGGCGTGGTCACGCCTGGCCCCTCCCCCCCC